GTGTGTCTAATACTGTAAGCGCTGAAGGAAGTTGAAGTGTGTCTAATGCTGTTAGCGCTGAAGGACGTTGAAGTATCAGTTGAAATGAAGGTGTTAAAAGGAGTTGCAGTTGTACTACTGAAGAGAGTTGAAGTGTTAGATGAAGCATAAGTTCAATTATTAGTGAAGGTGGAAGTGCTGAAGAGAGTAAAGATTCAGTTGGTAATTCTTCTGTTACATGTCCTCTGGTTTGGCAGATGAATTTCACAAACACGTTTAGTACTGACGTTACAAATTATGATCAGATAAAAAATTCTTGTTCAGGTTTTGAAGATGTTGTACAACCTTAAATTGGAACAAAGTATTAAGGCGTGTAATGTTTAGTTAGCCTCACTGTGTTTGTGAGAGATTCATACCCACTACTCGCAGTGGTTGAAAGACTTCGTTGGGCTTACATTTTCATAAAAGTTACAAAGCTGCATGTTTCTTTAATGAGCGATCTCGGGGAGCTTTCAATTCAAATATTTGACAGTTGCTATTGCACCACCATTAGCAGCTGTGTATAAATGTTGGGCATTTGAGTTGATGGACAGCTTGTGAAGAGGAAGGAAAAGAGACAACAGAAGTGACGGGCTACCGGCCCTCGGGCCTCGGCTCACTATGTGGCACGTTGACTGCATCTTGGAATGAGGCCAACTCTGGAGTCGGGCACAGGCAGCGTTCTCGTTATTTCAAATAGACTAGATGTGTGCCGTCTGATGTCTCGTTGAAAGCCCTCCCCGTCAGTTTCACTGAGAAATGTTACTAATGGTGACAAGCCATTTTTCAAATGGCCTCTCTGCGGTTTAAATTGTCCTCACTTAGAGTTTCACTCAGCGTCCTGATGTAGTTTGGCCCTCGCAGGTACAGCAGACTACAAACACATGCACCCTGAGCTCCTCTGTGTCGTAAATCCACCCGGATTAATACGATCAAAAGGAGAAAGATTCACATCAAGTTAATAAAGCCACCAGTTGTCTACAAAATAAGAGCTGTGTGTTCCTCTCCTGCCTTCAAATACTCAGTCCCGTACGAGGGGATCTCAGTTGTTTGCTATTGAACTTTGACCGTCTACAGGAGGCTGAGGAGATAACGGAGGCTTTGCAGCTGTGATACGAAACTTGCATTAATGAGAGTGAACTGGATCCCCGGGAGAACTGGCTGGTAGTTGATAATGCAGAATCAGTCTAGAGAAAGAGAGATGCAACCAGTACTGTAGCTGCAGAGAGCATTATTAATGACTTAATGAGGGAGCTGAGTTTCCAGATGTTGAGACTATTCTGATAGTAGAGACATGTTTGCCATCACACAGTCAACTGCTATGTCTAGGGGGTTCCTGGCCCTTTTGACTTGTCACCTGTTAAAACAAAGCATTATCTTCATATCTTATGCTGCATTCACGAGCGAACCAGGCATTGGGTCGATGTAGCGCCGTGCTGCACATTCTCACCCCAATGGGTCAAATAACACAGCTTGATCAGTGCTCCCAAGCTTCAAACTATGACGCTCAAGGTTCCCCTTTAGCTTCAGTTTTTGTGTCAGAGACGGCGTTTCCGTTCTTCTCGTGCATCGAGTCTTTTCTAAATAAGCTTTCGTGTTCATAAGAAGTTAGGTTGAGGCAACAAAACCTTTGTCTGGCTCGTCCACCTCTGCTCCCACCCACCAGGGGTGGACTGTCTTGCTCTCTTTGCTCTACAGTATTCGATGCATTGGGGGTGAGAACAGGTGACTGCACATTGATTAACAGCTCCTTTTCCCTTGTTGCTGGGTCGCCAGTTCCATGATTTGCCACCACAGCGTGACGCCGGGTTACGTTTCACCAAAAGTTTCAAAACCTTTCGCAGCAAGAGTGGAGCGATTCGATTCTAGTAGCAAAGGTACAGGTCATAGTGACCTCGCATCCATCCCATTCTGGTGATCAAGTCACAGGAACGCCTTCAGCCAATGTCTTCACATTTTGAACTGATTCGATTTTGGTGGTCAAAACACTTCTAACTTAAGAATTCATATGCTAATTATGACATTTTCCCACAAATGTCTGAGAAGATAACTTGATGAAGTGATGACATTTCAAGACAGACATGGGTGTAAACTGCAATGACTGGTTGGCAGAGGCAAACAACCGTGAGGTGGTGAATGTAGCTTTGTGTTGCTAGTGGAGCTGTAGAAAATTGCTTTTGTTCTTTCATTAAATAATGTCTTTACCTTCTTTTGTCCTAACTTGTCCCGCAGTGCTGGTGCTGCTGTTTGTGATGTGGATGAAGAGGAGGGACAAGGAGCGTCAGGCCAAGCAGCTCCTCATCGACCCAGAGGACGACGTGCGAGACAACATCCTCAAATATGACGAGGAGGGAGGAGGAGAGGAGGACCAGGTACACGCACACACACACACACACACACACACACACACACACACACACAGTACTACAACATAAAAACAAATCACACAATCTAGCTTGGGTTTCTCTCTCTATCGTTTTGTGATATTTCTGACTATAATTTGGTGCTACATTTCCTTTGATTGGTGGTTTTCATTCTAGGTGTACATTAGTGCCAGAAATCACCTCCAATCTGCTCTTGCATTCATAACTCCCACACAGTCCCACTCAAACACACACATTCTCATGAAGGAAGCATACAGTAAAATACACATGACGCTGCCACACAGACACACACTCTGCGTCCCTACAGTTTTCAATCATCCGTCCTCCGGCTGAGATTAAGTGTACTACAAAAGAGGAGCTAAACAGGATTAATTGCTTTCTGTTGGGGAACAATTTCCTGTGTCCCTCCACACAACTCCTCTGCTGGTGCCAAGCACATAAGCTGCTCCACACTTCTGCAGGAAAAAATGGTTAACCGTTATTTACCCAGCCGACGAGACTGACAGCATGTTTTACTTTCTGCTGCATCATCTTGTAGTGGCTGTAAAGAAAAGGAGTTGCTCTGTATATGTGCAACCATACACACACTTACAGTACTGTACAGGTAGGGGAATCAGATGCTATAATGCACTGCGCTATTTCACTGCAAACAAATCGTTTGTACCGGATCTGGACTGGTACGTACTGCTTCCAGGAAATAGCCACAGCCTTGCACTCTGAGTCCAACAAGGACAAACCTTCTCTTGGTTACAACCATTGCAACAAAATGTTGTACGGGTCATGGCCCACAGAAGGTGGATCCCAATTGGTTGATCGCCTGACTTTTCATCTAGCGTCCCCAGTAGGTCATAGTTTTTATTATGCCCCCGCACCAGCGACAGCCGTGACAGGAGGCTTTATGCTTTCGGGTTATCCGACCCGTTCTTGTGAATGCAATATCTTAGAAATGCCTTTACATTTTTCCAAATGTTGCACAAATATCCACTTGGATTAAGGGATGAACTGATGAACTGGTCTGGTTAGAGGCATACAACCGCTAGGTGGTAATTCTAGTTAACCCAGTGAAGTATTTCAAGAGGGATAGGCACAACCATTTTGTTCAAGAATTCATGGTACCTGGAAAAAAATACTCCAGGTTTTTTCCAGAGCTATCATAACGTCGAAATTTCCCTCAGACGTAAACATAGACTGTAAAGACCAAGTGGACATCACCCATTGCTTTGTGAACTGCGGTTTTGAAGTTTTGAATTTAGGATTCAAGCCGTCGCCATCTTGTTTTGTTGTAACCAGAAGGGACAGAGGATGGAGCGAAGTACAACTGAACGTGGATAAGACATTCTTAGGCAACCACCAATTACAGTTAACTTTCACAAACTGAAAACACGCTGCAAGAAGGGTTCAAGTTCTAAGACGAAAACAGATGACTCCCAGATCGGACGTGGCCGTGGTAGAGACCTGTCAATCAAGTAAGCCCCGCCCTAAAGCATCCCCTGCTTTATGGTCTGTTTGACTCTAAATGGACCATCATTTACTAAATGAGCATCATGCTGTATTGAAGAAGACTTGAATTATCAATCAGTCTGTACACATGACATCTATTGCACTGTCCATCCTGGGAGAGGATCCTCCTCTGTGTCTCTCCCACAGGTCTCTTCCTGTTTTTCTCCCCGTTAAAGGTTTTTTTGGGGGAGTTTTTCCTGTTCTGACGTGAGGGTCCTGGGACCGAGGATGTTCCATGTGTACAGATTGTAAATCCCTCTGAGGAAAATTTGTGATTTTGGGCTCTACAAAATACATTGAATCGAATAAACTCACGTTTACAATGTTTACTGAGGTAATAAATCAAGAGAGAAGTAGAGTCATTTTCTCATAGACTTCTATACAACCAGAGGAGTCGCCCCCTGGTGGACATTAGAGAGAATGCACGTTAAGGCACTTCCATAGTTTGAAAGAGGTTGCTGCCTGAATAAACACTGTGCGTAGTACTTATGAGCAAAGGTTGCTAACATACTGAACAAGGATAGCGAACATGGTAAGCATGTACCTGCATAGCATCAGCATTTAGTATTGTGAGCATGTTAGCATGCTGATGTTAGCATTTAGTTCAAAACCATGTTGTCTTATTACAGCTAGCTGCTAGCATGGCTGTGCATGCTTTGTTTTACTTCATATGTCTCATACAGAATCACAATCTGATTGGATCTACTTTAATATACATCAAAAATATGAAAGCCCAACGTGACAGTCTGTGGCACACAGTGTTGGTAGTGATGGAGCTTGGTGATTCAGTGTGGTGTTTGCATTCGCACATTACGACGAGCAAAGCTTTAAACAAAGTAGGAACCCTCTCATTGTTCCTGCAGGAGCAGACTCAATCTGGAATTTATAAACCAATTGGAACCCCAAAGGGTCTTGAAGATGAATAAGAACATTTTGAGCACTCTACTGCAGTGCTTGTTCCGCTGACTTGCTTGGCCTCCGGTGTTGCTGCTTGCAGCTTTCTCAAGAACCACTCATCTGAACAACTTCACGCACTCGACACTGCTCTTCCTTTGGTCCTCAGCAAATAAACCCGCCAAGTATGTAGTCGATCGGATGAAACTCGAAGGACTTATGCACACACAAACCTGCATAAATACATGGAGACAGAGACTCCTCCTACTGGAGTTATGACTTCGCTTATCGCACTGTTTCTTTCATTCTGAATAATGTTTGGATGAACTTGCCTCCCTTAAATCCTATTATTTGTTTTGAGCAATAAAGATTTTACCAAACATGATCAAATTTGTATTGACATTGTTAACCAAATGTAAGTTAATGGCAAAAATCAAAGACAGCCTATTGAAGCTGGACTTTGTGTTTGTGTTGTTTGAGTTAAACACAAAGCTGCTGCTAGAAACATCCAGCTTTCCTTCTTCTGTCATTACCGCTACAGTAACATGTTGCACTGGCCTTGGATAGTGTGGTGTTTTGATTTAAAGAGTTTAGTTTGATTAGATTACCATGTTAGTTTGTTCTTGTACCGACAGCTTGTGTCTTTATTTGTCTTATTCAAGCATTAGATACAAGGCACACTCAGTTCTCAGGAACACGAATACACACACACACGCACACACACACACACACACACACACACACCTTCATTGATAGCAGTTGTTCCCTCACTTCTAATCCATACAGTACCTATAACCTATAAATCATACTTCTTTAACGTGTAAGGGGAACACCACCTACATTAAGAATGGGTTCTGCTTTTAAGAAGAAACAGAACCCAGTGAAGTAAGTCTGTCGTCGTCCTCTGGTCCACAGACAGAGAACGGGAGACTGATTCTGTTCTCCAGTTGCCAGTGTGTTATCAGTTATCATGTAGTTTTAATAGTTTGCTGGTTTTTACCGGTGGATTGTAGCAGCAGTCACATTGTAAGAAATTGGTCCTATATTTCCGACATAAGCTGACTTTAATCATCCAAGCTCTAAATTGGATTGATGACCAAACATTGCATCACAGTTGAAGTGGGACAGCTCAACACCCTGCAGCATACAGCGTGGCCTTCTGTGGCCGTGGAGCAAAAACTCACAGAAGACTCAGCGCTCACTCTTTGTTAGCCAATTAGGATTCTAGCCTCAAAATCAATAATTCTGGCTTCCAATAATGTTGTTATCTGTCTGTGCCCCTGACGGCGTTCACATATAAATACAGTATACGGTACTGGATGGCAGTCGTAGTGAATTGAACCTCACTACATATGCGGTCGCTGCTGCAGACATTTAAAAATTAAAAAGATGCTCAGTGGCGTGATGTGGAGGAGTTGAAATGTTTAAACCTGTGATATATGGGAGAGGTAGTCAATGCTGCTCATACACAGATAACACATATGTCAAAGTAAACATAGCCTTAACTGCAAAGGTATGAGCCATTCTGTATGTTAAAGAGAACTCCGGAGACATCCTGAGTCTGAAAACTGAAGCAAATGCTGAAGTACCTTAAAGCTGCATTCTCTATAGTGTCCACCAGGGGGCGACTCCTCTGGTTGTATAGAAGTCTATGAGAAAATGACTCCACTTCTCATTTATTTATTACCTCAGTAAACTTTGTAAACACGAGTTTATTGTCAGTTTTCAGTTCACACTTTCAGTGTTTTCACCTCAAAAAAGTTAAATGTAACATTTTGGTCGCCTAAAAATGTCTTATTCAGTGTTTGTTTGTACTTACTTTGTAGTTGCAGAAAACCAAGATGGCGATCGCCAAAATGCCAAACCCGAGGTTTCAAAACGGCAGTTTTCACTTCCTGTGATTTCCCGGGAATAAAAAGTTGTTCTATTTCTACATAATGCCAAAGTACAGCAGCGTACTTTCTGCATCATGTCCTGCCTCCTGCACCCATCGCCTGAACCAAACAGAGTATTCCCGGTCGGGGAGAACGCGTCTGACACAGACTGTTGTGCCCTACAGTTGTGAAAGGGCAACAGAGTTCGTTTTTTATTTTCTTCATTGCCATAAAACATAAAACCCAGCATGCAGAAATTAGAGGTTGAGTTCGGTGATCCATCACAGCAAACACTATGTCTGCTTTATTGTTATGAATGTTACTTCAAAGGTATATGGTAATGCAGTGCAGGGGTATCATTAGTCTGCATATACAACTGTATTACTATCAACATTTAACAATGAAATCATTGAATGGAATAAATGGCTACTAATGACCTCCTGGAAGAAATACTTAGCAATAATGTAAAATAGACAAAGTTTGCAGGAAATAGGCGCAACATGCATAAATCCTGGGATAGTTCTTCAAGTAAGAGTCCTTCAGAATGTCCTCACTGGGAGGACATTGTCTCTGGCCTGTTAGTGTAGAAATAGAAAAAGAAGAACACAGCACTTTCCTCCCTGCCCTCCTTACTGAAGGGCTCTCAGCCTCTCTTCAGTGAAACATCTTCTGTTGGTTCACCATTGATGTGAACAAAGCCCAAGGTCAGTCCACGGCATGCTGTTATTGTCCTGAAAAGGCCACTTTAGTCGATTTCCCTAGAGACCAGAGAGCACGAACTGGTCTCTGGATGGTTGCTGCGATGACTCAGACTACTACCATCAACGTGAAGAGATCAGAGGCCGGGACACACGCTTCCCCTCCGCCCACTGACTGCGCTGGAGTTGTATGCGAGAAGGTGAGAGAGGGACTGTGTCTCTCTAAGTGGATGCAAATAAGATAGCATGAGAGTCCTCCCTTAGGATGGAGGACTCCTCATTACTACAGCTTGAACATAAAGCTAGTGATAGTGAGTCAGGCGACAGGCCTGCAATGCACCTGGCATTAGGAGTATACATTATTGGGCATTTAACGGTGGGTTTATTCAGGTTTGGTGGTAAAGTTCAAGCCAACAACTTCTTTTTCTCATTCAGCTTGAAGTGTGAATTCTACAGCAGCCCAAATATTCTGCCACGGACAGATGACTCTTGATCTTTGTGATTCTTTTTAAGTAGAAGTGTTTGAAGTCGAGCATGTTTCAGGTCTTTGCATGAACAATAATGTGCAGAGGGTTGCCATCCCTAAAAAGTATTGAAAGGCCTTAATGTTTTAAATCAATCTTTCAAAAGTATTAAAAAGGATATGATATGGCAAGTTTGTTCTTTCTGACGTTGCATTGTAAAATGTCAAAATAATTGGTCATCTATTTTTAAACAGTCTAACAGCCTCTAACATTAACATCACACAGATCCGGATAGCAGAACCTACAATACTCAGAGCAGAGAACCCACTGTCTGCTGGCTGGCCTTTGCTCATATCTGCAATTATTATGTGGGCAATAAACCAGGCAACACTATACCATCCCAATGCACTTCAACGTCTAAAGTAATATACCGCTTCACACTGTAAAGAAGACGAGCTGCCTTCGGACGGCCGAGTAGAACAAGGGAGCTCAAATTGAGCATGTTCGGTAGAGGTGACGTGGTAATGGCCTTCTTCATTCATGAAGTGTGCATCCTGCTGATAAGAGTGTCAATATGTATCTCTTCCTCAACTAGAGGAGGACCTGGATTCAACCACGCTCCCATGCGTGGTGGGAACACGTTAATAACATCTGGACTGGTCGAGAAGAGGCACATTCGTGCATTTGTGAGATTTACGTTGACCCCACTTGATAAGTCAGTTGGGTCGGATCAACTTGCCGCCACAAACGAACCACTCCAGAGTTCCTTTGGAACCAGACCGAGACCGCCTCCTCTCAGGGGTCTTGATGCGGTGGTCTGGTTCTGTACCTGAGTGTGCTTACTGTGTTAACACCCTTAAACGAATCGCACCAAGAGGGGTGTTCATTGTTATGCACCAGTCAACAAGGAAGCAATAAACGGTTCCGATTCTGATTATTAGCCGAAAATCATTAATTTCCACACTCATGACTACTGATGCATTTCAGTCCAGTTCCACTGGAGATCTGACTGACAAACACCACCAACAGGAAGGTTGAACACTCCAGAAAAACATGGAATCTGAAACCTGGCAGTCCTGGTGGTGATGTGGTTGAGGATAATGTTGGGGTGGCTGTAGGTCAGTGGGTAGAGTGGGTCGTCCTTAGGGTGGCGGTTCGATCCCCGCCTGCATGTCGACTGTCAAGGTTCAAGTTCTGTAAGTACCTGTATGTATGTATGTATATGACGATTGCAATAAAGTTTAAGTTTGATGTTGTAGGTTTGTAGTCAATGGACTCTTCTCACAATGAACTGAGGGTCTAAGGTGGACAGCGAGCTGTACGGACTGTAAGGTCTGCTTGATGTGGAATTACTCTGAGAACGATGGAACTTGTGCTTTGACTTTAGCAGTCTGGAGTCTTTTTGTTGGTATACGAGCTTAAAGTTTTTGGAACTGTGTTCAATGGAAGAAGACGATGGTACAGCATTGTTCCGGGAGTGTCGCATCAGACACCCAGTTTGTAGTACTGCAAGCACATCAATATTCCAGCGCTGTCGTTGGTACGCCGTTGTGTTGCCTCATTCGGCGGTGGGCGAAGAATCTTCAAAATTGGCACTTTAAGGTTTAATCTCAGTTATTTTGTTCTGTTATGATTGTCTAGTTTAATCTTTACGTTTCTTATCTGTGTTTGTGTTACACAGGATAATGACGTAGCACTTTAGAAAATGGACTTATTTAAATCTGTAATTGGTAAAGTTATTTTAGAGACCTGTGATAAGACTTTCAGTCGTCTAGCCTCCCTTGCATAGTCTGTTATTATTTGTATTGTTTTGTGAAATGTTCTTTTTTATATGCAATTAAATGAAACAAATCAAACCAATCTTGAGTTAAATGAGTGATTTTGGGCAAAATGTGAATGTGTTGTTTTGTGTGTTTAGGACTACGACCTGAGTCAGCTGCAGCAGCCTGACGCCCTAGAGCCAGAGTGCGTCAAGGTGGGGATCAGACGTATGGATGAGAGGCCTCTCCATCATGACCACCAGTACCCCCTCCGCTCTGCCGCCCCCCACCCAGGAGACATCGGAGACTTTATCCATGAGGTACGGCAACACGCATCTTTGTGGAAAATGTCAGTGCTGTGCCATCCTGGCCTACTGAGATTCAATCTGTTCACCATGATTCAATCCTGGCGGTCGGGCACACAAACGTCTCAGCGCGCAGGAAGTGTTGAATCACGACTTGAGTGAAATACAAACTGTCTGTTTCGGCAGCAGTGAGCAAACACTGTGTCCAGAAAAACGCTGAATTTGCCAGCCTCAGATCTTCTGCTTCTCTCATCCCGTTTCTTTGGCATGAAGCATCAAAGACCGGCCGGGGATGTGTGCTGTTTACCTCATCACCTTACAGGATTTAGGGATAGTGGAGTTCAAAGAGTTTATTTCAAACAGTCACTCCTGGTGTTAAAGAAGCCCAGTCCGTTGGCTGTAAGCTCCTGAGGTGTTGTTCTCTCTGGAGTAACCTGGTTGACGCGCTCGTTGTAGGCTATGCTAAACTATCTGTGAGGTGTGGTGCATTCGATACATCACAGAGACGTTTGTTTAAATATATATATCCCATTTATTCTCCTGGTTGTGGAACAACATATAAAAAACCCATTATTTCCACCAACAGTAAATGCACCACATTAGCGTATCGCGGTCAACACCTTTTGCCCTTCCGGGGTCAAACACCTGACAAACACAGCGATTTCAGGACCTATATACCTGAGCCCAGGACAGGAATACAGCGGCACCCAATATACACACAAAGAAATACAGTTGTATTTATAATACCATTTTTGGCTCTAACACACTGGCCCCTAATTGTTAACCCAGACAGACATAACAATTCAAACAAAATACAACAAAGGAGCCAAAATGTTAAGTTACGACCAAGTGCATTACAGACAAATCAATTTACACTCCCTGTAGCAAAGAGAGTTTTGTGACTGGCCTTTCAAGAATGTTAGATTTGGTCTGTAATCTCACAGAACGCACTAGTCCCTTTTTGTCCGTAAAAACTTCCAGAACCTTGCCAAGTGGCCATGAACCACGAGGAGCTGAAGGATCCATGATTACCACGATATCTCCAGCGACCAAACTCCTTTTCCTCTGGTTCCATTTTTGTCTTTCTTGGAGCAAGGGTAAGTACTCCCTCACCCATCTCTTCCAGAAAAGATCTGAGAGGTACTGCACCTGCCTCCATCGTCTTCTTCCATATTGGTCATGAGGCTCGAACACTCCAGGTGACAAAGCTGGTTTACCCTTCAGGAGAAGTAGATGATTAGGCGTGAGCGGTTCCAGGTCATTGAGATCATCAGAGAGCTTGGTAATTGGACGATCATTCAAAATAGCCTCCGCTTCACAGAACACTGTATGAAGCCCATCATCATCCAAGCTCTGCTGACGTATAACGGAGCTGAGAACCCTTCTCACCAGGCGGATCAACCGTTCCCACACCCCACCATGGTGTGAACCTGCTGGTGGATTAAAACTCCAACGAATTCCAACTTGTGACAGGACTCCCTGAATCCGATCATGATTCAAAGCAGTGAGTGACTCCTTTAGCTCTCTTTCTGCCCCAATGAAGTTGGTACCATTGTCTGGCCTCAAGCTCACCACATGTCCTCTCCTGCTGATAAAACGCCGTAAAGCATTGATGCATGCGTCTGTTTCCAGTGAAACGGCTACCTCCAAATGAATGGCCCTGCTCGCCATACAGGTAAATATAACACCATATTGCTTACAGGTTGACCTTCCGCTCTACTTCAATTGGTCCAAAGTAATCTACCCCCGTGTTGGTGAATGGTGGTAGATCAGGAAAAATTCTCACCGTAGGAAGATCTGCCATCTTTTGTTCCACTGCTCTTCCATTGTAGCATTTACAAAAGCTGCATTCAGCAATGATCTTTCTGACAGCGGAATTGGCCTTGGTGATCCAAAACCTCTTCCTCACCGCAGACAGTGTATGAGTCCGTCCAGCATGGCCCAGATTCTGGTGTACATGCTTGAGAATGAGCATGGATACATGTTGGTCCTTGCAAAGGATTAGTGGATGTTTGGCTTCTTCAGGCATTGCTCCTCTGCTCAACCTCCCTCCAACTCTCAAGAGTCCATCCTCCAAAATTGGATCCAACTTATACACGGGACTCAGTCGACTCACGGTTGCTTTCCTGGATGACAGGGCAGGAATCTCCTCACTAAACCTCTCTCGCTGACAGTAACAAATGATGGCAATCTCTGCTCCCATTAGATCATCCAGTGTCAAGATGCAAATCTTTGGTTTCTTTATGACACCTTGTCGTTTAGCCTGCATCGACCTATCCTGACTGGTGTTCTCCGGATGATTAGCCACAGACGCTTCCAACTGCTTTCTTGAGCGACTCTGTGCCAACAATATGGCCTTTAACCTGAGAAACCAGGCAACTGCTTTCTTGAGCCTCCTCCAGTCAGAAAAGTATGCAATGAGTTGATCAGTAGGACTAGACACGTCAAACACACCGATGACATTTGCTGTGGCCTCCTTTCTCACCTCTTGGTCATCCGAGTCCACGGACACTTCCAACACAATTTTAGGCCAGTCTTCCTCCTGCTTCCAAAGAAATGCAGGACCTTCAAGCCACCTGCTATTCTTCAGAAAGTCTGAGACCTTCATTCCCCTTGACGCATCGTCAGCTGGATTGTCCTTGGAACTGACATGTCTCCACTGTGAGGGCTCAGATGCTTCTCTGATGGTCGAGATTCTGTTGGCCACAAACCTGTGAAAGCGCCTGTCCTCATTGTTAAGGTACTTCAACACTGCAGTGCTGTCAGTCCAAAACACTGAATCCTCCAACTGGAAATTCAACTCTGCCTTTAACATCAAGTCCACTCTGACAGCAGGACGGCTGCTGACAACTCGAGTCGAGGAATAGTTACAGCCTTCAGTGGTGTCACTCTGGCTTTGCCGAGCAAAAAGGTGACCTGGATGCGGTTTTCCTGATTTAATATCCGGATGTATGTTACAGTTCCGTACCCATCTGTGCTGGCATCAGCAAAGTGATGTAGTTGGGCTTGTCTGACCTCTCCAAAATCCATTGACTTAACGCACCTGTCCACGTTGAATGCAGCCAGCAGATCCAAATCCTCCAACCACTTTTTCCATGGGTGTAAGATGTCTTGTGGTAAAGCATCATCCCAGCCACATCCTCTCCTACAGAGTTCTTGCTGCATAATTTTGGCCAGCAAAGTGACTGGTGCCAGGAACCCCAAAAGGATCATACACTGAGCTGGTAACTGACAGCATACCACGTCTGGTGTGAGACTGTTGTTTTAACTCCATCTTGAATCTGAAAGAGTCAGTCTCCACACACCACTGCAGACCCAGAGCTCTTTCCACTGGAAGCTTGTCTCGGTCCAAATCCAACTCCCTTAAGTCCTTGGCCCTTTGATCCTCTGCAATGGCTTGCAAAACAACACGACTACTGCTGATCCATTTTTCCAAGTTAAAGCCCCCCTTTCGACACAGAGCAATGAGATCTCTTATCATCCGGATAGCTTCTCCTTCAGTAGCTGAGCTCTTCAAACAGTCATCCACGTAGAAATTCTGCTTGACATATTGTGATACTTCAGTCGCAAACTCAGACTGGTTATCCTCAGCAGTTTTTCTCAATGCATAGCTTGCACAACTGGGTGATGACAGCCCTAAAGAGGTGTACAGTCATTCTATATTCAACCAGGTCCTTCGTGACATCTCCATCTGGCCACCAGAGAAAACGAAGAAAATCTCTGTCCTCTTCAGCCACCTTCACCTGGTGGAACATGGCTTGAATGTCACCCATGAATGCAACAGGTTCCCGTCTGAAACGAGTAAGAACGGCAAGGAGTGAGCTTGTGAGGTTAGGACCCTGCAAGAGTTCGCTATTCAATGATGCTCCTTGGAACGTGGCTCCACAGTCGAACACCACTCGGAGGGATCCCTTCTTTGGATGGTGAACGCCATGATGGGGAATGTACCACACCTTCCCTTTCCCGCAATGCAGTTCTTGCGGAGGCACTTGCTCTGCATAGGCCTTACTGATGAGCGTATTCATGTACCCTGCATACTCCTGGTGTAAATACTTATTGTTAAGAAATCTTTTTCTCAAACCCTGAATCCTTTGTTTAGCCACAGCGAAGTTATTGGGCAGATAGACCTCTTGGTTCCTGAAGGGCAACTTCAAACAATATTTCCCATCCTGAAGTACTGATGAGCGCTCCATGGTTTCCAGAAACTTGAGGTCTTCTCTGGACATTTCCTTTTCCTCAGCCTTTTCATTGAATTCGTGATTGTACTGATTGGTCAGCATTTGTTCCAGTTTGCAAATAGTTATCCTGTTCACCGTAGCAGAGGAAGTCTCTGCCCCTAAAGCACCACTGTTTCCATTCAGCGGACCACTAACAACCCATCCTAGCACTGTCCTGATAGCGTACGGGCCATTTCCACGGCTGTTGATGACCTCCCAAGGTTCCAATATCTTGGGAGCATCAGTTCCAATCAAAAGGTCCATGCTTGCCTTTATGCTTGGGATGTGTATTTTTGACAAATACGGCAAGTTAGTCAGTTCTTCAGGACTCACCATGTTATCAGCAGTGACTGGCATGTTCCTCTGGGTTAGAACATCTGGTAAAGTATAAAAACCATCACTGTCCAGACCAGATATCTCCAAACCACTCAAGGTGTACGCTGGAACAACCGCTTCCTGCCCCATTGTCTGCAGCAAGAAGTTGGTTATTTTGCCTGTAATATTCAGTTTCTGCATTAGATGTTCTGAGCAGAATGTAGCTGAACTACCAGGATCCAGGAAGGCATACGTTTTGATAATGTGATTTCCTTTTGCAGATTTCACCTTTACAGGGAGAATCGATAGAACACAACGGTCCTTACCAGCCCCTGTATGTCCACATGTTTTCAGTGAAGTTGGCTGGTCAGTAGATGGTTCCTTTAACTGTTCCAAAGCTGTTATTTGCCTTTTGATATGAAGCACGGTGGGATGATTTTTACCACAAACCTCGCAAGAAAAGCGCCTTTCGCAGTCCCGGCT